TCTGTACTCTACCTGTTCAGGTACTCTGTTCACTACCTGTTCAGGTAGTGAACAGAGTACCTAATGTTGATGTATATAAAGTTCAACATATCAATTTGTGTGTGTGTGTGTGTGTGTACCTCCAGTAGCTTCAGATGGTCCAGGTCGACAGCAGCATCTGTGTTTGCTGCCTCCATCACATCCAGAGCCGACAGACCGTGTTTCTGCTTCCCTGAATACACAAACAAATACACGGTTAGTATTTATGAATCCATCGTGTGTGTGAGTGTGTGTGTGTGTGTGTGTGTGTGTGTGTGTGTGTGTGTGTGTGTGTGAGCACCTTTCATCATGCGGTATCCCAGGAACAACGCCACAATGATGACGGCTGCTATGGCGACGGTTACCAGTGCGATGAGTGCCGTCTCCTCCCGCCGCAGCGGCTGGTGGTCTGATGATATCATTACTAACATCACTATGACATCACAACTCAAGACAGAAACGTTATCGGAGAAACGAGCTGAGCTAACGTTAGCATCAGACCTCTGGATTTATCCTAAACCAATGGAATCTTCTACCCGACCAACACGAGGCACGTGATTGGTCAGTTCAGGGAGACCTCTCACCTGTCTGTCTGTCGTCCTGCCCGTCTGACTTCATTGGCCTCAGGGCGGGGGTATCGGCGGTGGGCGGGGCCTCGGTGAAGTTGGCGTTGCAGAGGTCTCGGCTGCAGCAGCAGAACCTGTAGCTGCCGTTCTGGATCTGAGAGGGTGTCGTAGTCACAAGGCAACGGTCGCTGTGACACTCCTGCTCGTTGCCAGTGTGAGTCCAGCAACCTGGAAGACAGGCAACATGTGTTCAGTGTGTGTGTGTGTGTGTGTGTGTGTGTGTGTGTGTGTGTGAGAGTGTGTGTGTGTGTGTGTGTGATTGTGTAGGTGTGTGAGTCTCGCCTTGCTTGACCAGGTGTATTTCCCGGTCTGGTCTCTTTTCCCACAATCCATAGCAGCGGGAGCCGCGGATGCAGTGGACCGTGCCGTTGTCTCGCACCACTCCTCGCAGCTCATTAGTCGGTTCGCTGTGAGACTCCGCCCCCTGGAGCTGGTCAGTGAAGGCACACTGTCTGACCTCCGACTGTAGACCTGAACACAAAGGGTTAATAATAATAATCTGACTGTCGTAAAAACTCCCAGCAGCCTCTCTGTCTGAAGGACGACAGGACGTCCTGCCTCAGGCTGAAGAGGTCCATTAGTCCGATGTCCCAACATCTCGTCTCTCAGTGAAAACGTTCCCTCAACAGAACAACCGGCTGAATGATGGTCTGTCGAGTTCATTCATGTCAACGTCAACAACAAACCAAGCAGCGCTGAACAAGAGGAGGTCCACACTTTGTACTGAAAGTGGTCATTAATGTGTGTTTAGACCAGGGTCCTGAGGCTACGTCCACACTAACACGCTTTAATACGAAAACCATCTCCGTCCACACGCTTCAGCATCATCTTCTAAACGATCTCCGTCCAGAATACAACGCCTGAAAACAAACATCACGTGACTCTTCACGTACACTGGGCGTGATGGTGCCGATGTAAACAGGAAGTAGATTGGTTGCTTAGTTAAAATAATACGACAGAGTAATAAAGTAGTCTTTCATAATGAACGGTCGTGTTTGATTCTTAATCTTCTCTAAGATCTTCCTCTATGAACTCAAATAGACAGTTCGTGGAAAGTTTTAGAAGTTTTATTTTTCAGACTTCGTTACAGCGCTGCAGGTCTCTCTCTCACATCATATTTACTTTAATATTAACACTCACTCAAAGAGGTTCACTAGATTATGATCCATAAATGTGGTCAACACACGTCTCTCACTCGCTTCCTGTTGTCTTTTTCTCACTCGTAGCTCTGCTGGAGGCTGAAGTCTCTGTCCTACTGGAGAGCACTTGTGCTTTTGCTCCTTTACAGTTTATCTGTGGACTTCACAATAGTTGTGCAGAACAAAATAAGCATCAATAAGCCCTCCCTTTGTTTTATTCTTTGCACAGTGGACAATCTTTCAAAGGGAACTCCTCTTATCTTGGAGTTTGGGGTGATAATGTGTCACTGAAAATAAAAAATGTTTTAATATTTTGTCAACTAAAATATGCGTCACATCCTATGACGTCGGGCGCCTTTCCCTGCAGGTGGCTAATCATGATTTGCATTTTTATCAATGGATGAATCCAAAAAAAGAAAAGTCACGGAGGAAAATAGTCTTCACTTGCTTTCACTGCCAACGATGCTGGCTCACCTGCTCACCTGCTCACCTGCTTGATATGTGGCGAGAAATTAGCAAACAACAAGAAATGTAAAGTTGAAAGACACTTCAGAACAAACAACATTTGCTGAAAAGTGTCATGCTGGAGATGAACGACAGAGCGATTTCTCAACTGCTGCAGTTCTCTTCTTCATAGGAGTTTGATATTGTTATAACAGGTAAAATAGCAATAAAAAAATCAAGAAGTGTCTTCATTATTGTTCTATAATTTCGCCATCTTGTTTATGACCGTCGCCATCTTTGTTTATGACCGTCGCCATCTTTGTTTATGACCGTCGCCATCTTTTTGGGTCATTTTTTTCACACTGTCTGAAATCACTCTTCCTCACTCTGCGTAGAGTTCTATGTAGAGGACTTTATAATGAGCTCATCGGTAAAAAAAAATTCTCCATGCCATTAATTACAGAAACTGTCGCACAATTAAAACGGCACCTTCAGGACAAACTGTTCATTCATCTCCGTATCACATGTTTGTTCTGTAAATCCTAAAATCCTTCAGTCTCAGGAATCTGACTGACCCTCCCTGTCACCGATTAGTCTACTGTAACACACACACACAAACAAACACAAACAGACAGACACACACAAACAGAGACACACACACACACACACACACACAAACAGAGAGACGCACGCACACACACACACGCACACACAAATACATAGACACTGTCGTCAGCCAGTCTGTGTCAGGTTGTGTTTTTCTTGTGATGTCTTTGATAAGACACACACACACACAAACTCCACCTTCCTGTCTTTGTGTGTATGTGTGTGTGTGTGTGCGTCATGAGTTAATTGCAGAAGGAATTAGTTGAATAAACAGGAATGTGAGCTGTGTTCCTGTAACACACCCGACGAACTAATGGTTCTGTGAGCTCTCACCAGGGCATGACGGCAGCTGAACTTCTTCTAACAGTTTATCCAGACTAAGCTGTTGTATTGCTTCCTCTTAGTGCTAAGCTAGGTTAACAGTTTCCCTCTGCTCATAGTTAGTACTAAGCTAGGCTAAATGAGTCTGTATATTGTAATAAAAGGTATGAAGATATGATGTTATGTGTACTGACCAGTGACAGCAGGCAGCAGCAGGACGCACAGACACACCGTTAATGAAGCTCCACCCACGGCGGCCATGTTGGATCCACCCCCAATGTTCGAGTCCCCGTAGACGTCACACAAACATCACTGATCCTGGGTCAGATCATCCTGAAAGAAAACAGAGAAAATAACAAATTTTTACTTTTAGAAAATAGTTTTATAGAAACAAAGTTAAAGTCCATCCATGATCCTGGTCCTCTTATCTGGGACCAGGTCTAGCAGAGACCTCCGGACCTCCTCATGGACGTGGATGGGTCTCTCCGGACCTCCTCATGGACGTGGATGGGTCTCTCCGGACCTCCTCATGGACGTGGATGAGTCTCTCCAGTAGACCTTCAGTAGCTAGCATAGCATAGCATAGACATGCTAATGCTAACGAGCTCTGCTAATAGTCTCACTGTTACACAACGTTCAACATGACGACGCTACGCTGTGATTGGTCAGCCTGTGCTAGAGGGGCGGGGCTTAGCCAAGGGTACATTTTTATAGAAGTCTCACATTTAATATTAAAACTTCATAGTGAGCTTGTTTTATATGAAACATACGGTCTAATATTCTTATTATGGTCTACTAAATAAATAAAATAGACTTTAGTATAATAATATAATATATATTATTATTATTATTTTATAATAAATTATAATAATAATATTATAATCCCTCTATTGGACTAAAAGGACTCAATAGTGACCTCATAATATTATATAATACATATTATAATAATAATATTTAAAAACTAATATATTCACATCAATAATCAGTCACGTGACCTTTAATCAGCTGTGATTTCAATATTTTAGCTTGACATTCATGATCCATCTGTCTCTCCCTGACACACCTGTAATACACGCCTGTGTGTGCGTGTGCGTGCGTGTCTGTGTGGGTGTGTGTGCGTGTGTGCGGGTATGTGTGGGTGTGTGTGTGTGTGGGTATGTGTGTGCGTGCGTGTGTGTGTGCGTGCGTGTCTCGTAGAGTCATTGATATCAGATTATTGATCACCTGTGATCTTCGTCTGCAGGTAAATTTAACGACGGCGTTCTGACAGCTGAGGACGGAAGGGAGTGGCGCGTGCACACACACACACACACACACACACACACACACACACACACTCACTCACCGGTCCGTCACACGTTAACTGTGTGTGTGTGTGTGTGTGTGTGTGTGTGCGTGTGTGTGTGTTGTTCTTACCGGGAGGAAGACTCCGGTCGGCTCTGCAGGAGTAGATGAAGCAGCCTGTCTGGTCTCTGTCTGTGTTAGGGCTCTGTTCGGATCGGTTCGGGTCGGTTCGGGTCTGGCTCGGCTCGGCTCGGACTCTCCTCTCCTCTCTACGATCAGTCCGGATCCAGCAGCAGGTCTGTGGATCTTGTCTGTGGACCAGAACCAGAGGCTCCTCAGGTCGGAATGAGGCTGGGTTCGTCTGCAGACTCAAAGACGCATCACAGTCCTGACGACACCACACACTGAGCTTCCGGTGGAACCTGTCAGAATAAAAGCCCCAGCATCGAGCTGTCGGCGTGTTTCCGGTTTGTAGGGACGAGGATCATTAATTCAATTTATCATATATGCTGTATATATATATTATTAATATATATATATATATATATATATATTAATAATATATATATATATGTATGTATGTATGTATGTATGTATATATATATATATATATATATGTGTATGTATGT